ATATTTACTTGGTCACTTTGTTAAAGCATTTTATTAACATACATTGTTTTTGTGATTATTAAGATTATTCAATCCATCTCAAATATCTAACCCAATAGCCGATGTAAAGTCTATCTAAAAAACAAGAAGCTTTAAATACACCTTGATATGTTTGAGAAGCTATTAATGCTTTGAAATGACCAAGCACAGTAACCATCCACGTCTAAGGACACGTTTCAAATGCCATCACTGAGCGGGCAGCTTTTTTAAAACATTAATTTAAAATGAATTATTCTAGATAGGAAAACATAAAAGGCTACAGACACAAAGGGGTTGAGGCAGAAGCAGTGCCGGTTCAATGCCAGGGCTGAGGATGACCTCAGTGAAAATGATTTTTCTTTTGGAGGAATTCAGAGGCTGCCAACGTATGCTTGAATTGATGTAGGATATATCAAACAGTATAACATTGTAATCATAATTTCTACAATATTGGACTCATGGTTGTCATACTGATGCTCAACAGCACTGCCTTAAAGATGTATGTTTTTTTTTAGAATAGCAGACATTATATTATAAGAAGCTTGCTGTAAATGAAACATTAACCTCTAACCCATTCTTTGGTGCAATTTCTATGTTTTGATGATTTTACTTGACCAACTCATTTCATATATTGATTGAATAGTTATTAGTAAATAATACAATATATAGTATTTGGGTGAAATGCAATTGATGAGAATCCTAAAGTGTGTTTGTACATACATGATCCCATAGATAATGTAAAGATGATTTTTTTGCATAGCTGTGGTCAGCAAATATTAAATAAAAGCAAAGTATAGTATGTTGAGTAAAAAAATAAATACTACACGTTTATAAATGTAGACTATAAGTTTGTGACGATGTGTTTCAACACACATTGTTTTTCTGCAAGTATAGCATTACAGAATGTTATTGTATTACATGTTTTTTTCTCATTTGGTGAATCAATCAAACCAGATTATCCCTGTAAATGAGTTGGTCAGTGCAGAAACCACTATGTCCAATTTGCCACTTAACCTTTTTGGAATACAGATAATATTGTTTAGAACCATGGCTGTTATTGCTAGAAAACAACCAGATGCCTGGTTCTAGGATAATTCATTTCAAAGGCCCTTTGGATCTTTGACATGCATTTGTATGTTGGCGTATATTCCTGCGTATAGCCTAGATGTGCTTTGTAACCCTCAGAAGCCTAATCTGCACCATTAATGGACTTTTTGTAGAAGTTAATTAACCATTTTCAATGATAGCAGCTCAGCAATCCCAGTAGAGAGCCATATAAAGGAGCGAGAGATGGAGACCGATTATACTGTTGCCTAGCAACACATGTACAAAATTTGAAGCGATTTAGTGCCCCCATACTGGTTCTCATGGAGGTCATATGTTCACTAAATCCACACTGTGTACTGGCTGTCACACAGGGCTGTCCACAGATCAGCACAGGTACCGGTCCACGTCCGGCTCACTGCATGTTGACGTGTCGATGTAAAGCATGTTAAACCTGCAGGCTGATTCCTCTAACATCATGGCGGTCTAATTCCATGGATTTGTGAAAACTGCATTTCTTTTGAGAGAGTGGCAAATGCTACATCAGAATCCCAACGGAGGGAAAAGGCTGTCTTTTGGAGCCATGGGATTCAACTTCTTTGCATAGTTGATCCCTCCAGGAAGGTACAAAAACACCCCAGAGGAAAACAGAGCATGCTCCACAGATTTGTTGGATGATTCACCCACTATTCCTGAAATATCATTGGCCAGCCCACCTCACCGATTCCTGCATCCAACAATACTTCACTATGTAAATAATATCTGGCAAAGGCTGTTTGCTATAAAAAATAAAAAAAACTGTCCTCTCAGCTTGTATTGCTTGTTTGTAAATGGTGTGTGTGTGTGCGCCTGTGAGAGAAAGTGAAAGAGAAAAGGAGGCTTACAAAGACACAGAGAGACGTGGGGAGGGAGAAAGAGAGAGGCGAGACAGAGCTGCTGAGACACTCACTTCACAGCAATTTGGGTCATGCTAAACAAATGCTTTACTAAAGAAGCACAGACAAATACGAGCATCTAGCCTTGAAATGATTTCAGTATATCTGAAGCTACACACATATCACAATGCATTGACTCAGAATGAAACAAAGCTGTACATGCAGAGACTGTCTCAGGTGTTTAAGTGCAGCAAGTGTGAGGTAAATGTGATTAATCATACCTGGGTGGGCCAAATTACATTAAGGCTTAAAATTAAAATATTGAATGAGCGGTTATTCAGTTATGCATTACTTCCCCGGTGGAATATTACAATCCCTTTAAGCATCAAGACACAAGTGGTACACCACAGCGGTATTATACTCTACACTCTCTCTGTGCTCACAAGTCAAGGAGGATGTACAGGAACAATCCAGGTTAGAGGCAGATGAAAACAAAGAGCAGACAGCAACAGAAAAGAGGCAGCACATCCAGGCTTCTGACAGCATAACTCTTTGTGGGATTACCTAATAAGACATATTTATCTTTCAAATACTCTGTTGAAGACTGCCTTGCTGTCAAAACAAAAAGGGTTTTGTAAACAGCAAGTGATTTCTTGTTTGTGAATTGTATTGTTCAACTTTTAAGCAACCAGATTTATCCTGAACGGGGGTTAGAAGCAATGTTTTCTTATTTTTCATCTTTACCATTTCATTTATGTTATCTTTGTCTATTGTAAGTACAAATGGGAACATTGGGTTTAGATGCACAATGTGTACACATCACCATTCTCACTGGTGATTGTCAAACGTCACCAGATTGACTGTATTTTTACAATATAAAAATAAGGGCTGTGTACACAATTTTACCAGAAGGAGAAAAACAAGTCTGCGACAATATGAATAAAATATGTGAATTGCTTATGATTAGCATACTAATGACTAATCATCATGCTAATGAGTTCATTTTGTGGCCTCAAATTGCAGGCTGGTGTTGAGGAATATGAGTCCATGAAAATGCATTCTGAAAAGTGAGAAATGCTCAGAGAATTAAACAAAGATAAGCAGCTAAAGCAATAATTTCAAGGTAGATTATGTAACAGTACACACGATGGTAGAAAATGTCTTATAGAGTGGCCTGTACTGCCTGAGACACATACACAGGATATCAGTTAGATACAAAATGATCTATTATTATCTCGTGTTTTTCAAATTTAGCTTGAGCTTAGAAAACACAATTAAGAAATACATGAGATTTATTGGATCTATCTTTTTTTTAAATATTTTGTAGGCTTTTATATTACATGTTTAGGTTTAACTTTAAGTTTATTTACTGTCATTTCTGAACATATTTTGCCAATAATACATTATGAATACACAAGAAACAAATAAGGTGAAGCACAGCACTTTTCACATCATTCTGCCAATTCTCCGCCTAACATTAAGATTATTTTACAGCCAGTGGGCCGGTAAAGAGGGACAACCCAAGAGTCAATCTCAGTCACACTTTAAAAGCCATCACAAGAAAGGACAAGTAATCTCAGCCTAATGGAGCCCGTACAACAGCCACATTCGAGCTTCCGACTGAAATTAGCAGACTGTGGGCTGCTGGAGAAAAAGGGCAGTGAGCTGCATCAAAGCAGAGCTGCGGGGTTAGCAGGTCAGCTGGCTGAGCTACATGTCACCAGCCTATTGGACATGCCTGTGTGCTCCATCAGCAGGTGTATAAATATGTGTCATGTTTCACACCCTATGTCCGCAGGGACTGCAACCCAGATGGGATTTTAAATGCTGCATTTCATGTGGTATCATTTAGTAGGTTAGTTCACCCCTCATTGGTTTGCCATCTGGTGCCCTCTCAGCCTGTGATAGGGAAATTCACACTGCAATCTAAACGCTCCTGATCTTGCGCCAGAGCCTTTCCAGAAGTTTGCACAACAGTCAGTGTGCACTCCCAACCTTACTGAAACTTATCCATTCGTATTATGACAAGTGAAGCAGCCAGGACACGTGGAGTTTGAAAACAGACTACCATGCCTTTAAATGTAGGAAAGTTTGTAAATCACAAACAAGTACAAGCTAACGTGACATCACAGTTCACGCAACAAAAACAGCTGAGCTGAAGAGAAACTTAAAAACTTAAGTAAATCAAACAAGTGGGCCCGTTCACATTAGTATCACTTACCGTTGCTCTTGAAATTGACGATCCACTCTTTGAAGTCATTTTTAGTTCTTGTAAATCACTTTCCAGACGGTTTCTGTAAAAAAAAAAAAAAAAACATGATAAAAAAAATCCGCGGCTGGATCCACTTTTCGCTGATTAGCTGTCCCCCGTGTGTTTTCCCGCTGATTTTAAAAACAGTTGATCTTTTACTTTAAATATGTTTTTATTCATATTTATATTCCTCGAGTTTTTTCTTCCCCTCATTTGTGGAAGACGCCAGGCTTTGGACGCTGAGTTAGACACCAGACACTGTTCCCTCCCTTTATTGACGGGTTCCCTTTATTGCCAGATTTGCAGAGAGCCGCTGACTGGCCTCACCGTCCACATAACGCGTTTGGACCAGATAATGCTGCTTATATTACCCCCCATATGTTTCCATTTTGCACCTCGACCATACATTTCATTACTGGAGGGGAGGGGGTACTCTTTTTGTGGAGGGGGTGGGGGTATTTTGTGTTGCTGGGCGTAGAGACAATTGCATTTGAAAAACAGTCAAATCCTATAAGTGTTTGAGGTAAATAACCTGAATTAAATATCTTTTAAAAAAGCCCCAAAAGTGACCAATTTTGAGAACTTTAAAATTGGGATAGTCTTTGTTTTTCTGCAGTTTTTAGGATTGCAAAACGTGAATGGCTATATGTATAGGTCAAGGCAAAACATGTGAATAGGTTTTTATTATGAAAACGGAGGGAAAGAGTACAATTTTTTTTTTGAAATATTAAAAAACAAACAAACTGCAAGTGCGATGTCAGTGTAGTCTATAGATGATGATGAGGAGGAAGAGGAAGAGGGGGGGCGACTTTGAGATGACATTGAGGCTGTGTAGATGGGAGTTGAGTCTCTGGTTGTTGATGTTAGACAGTCGCACAAGGCGAAGCGGCTGCTGCCCGTGTTGATTCAGCCTCCTCCTCCTCTTCCTCCTCCTCTTCCTCTTCCTCCTCCTGGTCTTCAGTACTGCTCCCCGCTGGACAGCTCCTGCTTGGACATCTCTAACGCTGCATGGTCCCTTTAAGTCTTTTAATGGAAGTAACATCTATTTATGTTCCAAGAAATATTGGGAGTTTACAACTTCATCCACAGGAGGAATCTAAGGATACCTCGTTTCGAGATTTGTGGCAGGCAGCGTATCCTCGGCGGCACACAACACAGATTCATTGTGAGTAAACTGGTTGGTGAAATATTGAGTCTGCGTGTGTGCGTGTTTGGAAACCTCATACTAACGAGTCTGGTTAATGCATGTCTCTTTTCTAATGTGTCTTTGCAGCGATTGTGCGTGTGATTAAATTGTGAATGAGACTGTCAGTGTGTTGCTGGGGTCAATGTAATGACTGCACGATGAGTTCTGCACCTACACGCTACAGCCAATTAAATGCCGAATTGATCGCTGTTTGCTCGTCTATTGGATGGTGCAAATGTGGAGACGCTTTTTCGTGCGTTTGATAACATGTTTAGTTCTCAATTAAGCGCATAGAATGGGGTGGATATTTGTGCAGCTTGGTGCGTAAAGCTTTTACGCATTGGACATCCCTTTGTCTCCAGAATGCGTTTTGTGTCCCAGTTTATTTGAGACCTCTCCGTATAAATTCTGCTTGCAATTTGTATGTGGATAACTGTTTGGAGAATCTGCAGGTGGGAATTGTTGGACTCCACTTTATAATGCGTTATTATCGCCGGCTGTTTGCTTTTGCTGCGGTGTGTCTTGCGCCTGGAGTGCATGTTTGGATCGTGTCATTTGTCTTAAAGTTTTCTTTTTTTGTCAGAAACATAAATTTCATTTTTTTTCTGTGGCTGTATTAATTGCAGACTTTGTTAAGGCGATCATGTGTGTGCTGATCTGGTTTGGGATGCTGTTAATTGACGCGAAATATGTCGTATGTGTTTTAGTTATGGGATAAAATCCAGCATTACTTTGCCAACGATGTTTTTTTTTATCAGTGTTTGCTGAGTTTGATATGAATGAAAATGTGTCAGGCGGTCAAATGTTCACGAGATGATAAGTGCGAGTTTTCAAATTTCAGTATAAAAGATACTGATACTTAATTGCTATTCAGTAATTCAAATGCATTGTTGAACCTGCCGAGGAGTAAATAAATGCAGTGGAAAATGTGTTTGCTTTACAATGACCGTATTTTTAGCGCCTACTGAAAAAACCGACCAAATGCTCTATTCACGATTGCAGGTTAACGGCGATTGAAGAGCCGTGTGTGCACAGGCTTCACCTCCAGACAATTGATCTAAGGGTAAGCTCTAGAAATTGCGAAACTGCTGTCTACGTGGACTGGTGTTGAAGCCTCTCGTCCGACTGCCAGGACCTTTGCAAAACCCAGAGACATGGCGACGAACGGCACCAAAACGGACGGACAGGTCACAGAACTGAACGAGGTGGCCACTAACGACAAGCCCAAGTCGCTGGACGTGAAATCCGAGAATCTAAAGGATTTGCCTGTTAGAGAAACATGGGGAGGGAGATTTGATTTTCTCCTGTCGTGTGTGGGTTATGCAATTGGACTGGGAAACGTATGGAGATTTCCCTATCTCTGTGGAAAAAACGGTGGAGGTAAACAATATTTTCACTGCTAATTTAAGCAAACTGCATGGCCCATTCAGCTCCATGATGCATATTGGAGCATTTAATTGACAGTGTTGAATACATGAAAATAATAAATATCACATATATTTAGAACCATAATTAATAGACGTTGTGCTGAAGTGTTTTAAGTGATGCGTCAGTGCAGTTGACACTCTTTTTTTGTATGTATAACTTGATTTACTTTTATCCATGCAGGAGCCTTCTTGATTCCCTATTTTTTGACCCTAATATTTGCTGGGATGCCATTGTTTCTACTGGAAACCTCCCTTGGTCAATACACCTCTATTGGAGGGCTTGGTGTGTGGAAACTGGCTCCTATGTTTAAAGGTATACTTCACAAAATATTTCTGGACAAAAGTGTCTTTATATGAGGCCTGTCTTAAAAATATGTATGGTGTTCATTGCTAAGTCAGGATTTATGGAGGCCAAATAACACATATATCCAATGATAGTTTTACACTGCCTATTTCATTTCTGTATCATAGGTGTGGGCCTTGCAGCAGCTGTCGTGTCCTTCTACCTAAACATTTACTACATTGTAATCATTTCGTGGGCCATTTACTACCTGTACAACTCCTTCACATATGTAAGTATTACATAGTATGCTCATGTGATTCATACAAAAGCTAAAACCAGCATAGGGTCAAGGTTGTTTCATTAGGAATTATAGCCTGTGATACGTGTAAGAAATGTAACATCCATAAAAGTGTCAAGCAGGAAAAAACACCATCATTTTTGTTTTTGCAGGACCTTCCATGGAGCTCATGTCACAACGCTTGGAACACAGAGAAATGTTATACAAACTACTCCATTGTAGATACCACCAATCTCACCAGCTCAGTGGTGGAGTTTTGGGAGTAAGATATTGACTGCTTTCTTTTTGCTTTAACAACAGCAGAGCTTGCATCCCAGATACACATAAAAGAGAGCCTCCTCTGCTGCATGCTTTTTTTTCCCTGTGTGTATAATAGTCCCACTGTTGCTCGCTCTGACTTACAGGCGCAACATGCATGAAATGACCGATGGCTTGGAAAAACCAGGCCAGATTCGAGCGCCACTGGCAATAACACTGGCCATCGCCTGGGTCCTTGTGTACTTCTGTATCTGGAAAGGGGTTGCCTGGACAGGGAAGGTAAGACGTTTGCCAAATGTCGGTATCCAATACATCTTGTGCAATACTGCTACTCAAAAAATGCAATATTTATCAGTGTAATATAACCTCATCATTCATTTAGACTGCAGTCAAAGTTGTCAAGATGATTTTATAATAATAGAAGAGACATCAAACACTCATGTCCACTAATCCCACTCTGCCTCATGGTGGCTCCTCTAATTCCAATTCTCCTGACATGGTGTCTATAACGAGTGTGGATTCATGATAGGAGGAGCATACGCTACAATCTGGTTTCCTCCTCTACTTGGAGCAGTTTCCTTCCCTTGTGATGCAGCATTTCGAAAGTTCAGTACATCACGTGTCCATGGCAAATAACATTTGTTTTGGTCACAAAATACCCCATCCCCCTGCACACGCTGCTCACAAATTGCTTGCAGAGTATTATAAACGCACACAGCAATTGAAAGTGAAGCTCCAGGGAATTCTTTGCCAAATATTTGGTCTCTTTATCTGTTTAGATGTTTTCTTTATTCGGAAGAAGACAGAAAATCTTAAAAACCTTCTTGAAAATGTCTGTATGGTGCTCAAATTCTAAATGTTTAAATTCTGTATGCATCATACATTTACTTATAGTTCAGTGGTGTAATGATGCTGATCCTGCTGTCTCACATTGTACAGGTCGTTTACTTCTCAGCTACATATCCCTACTTCATGCTGTTTATTCTCTTCATCCGTGGGGTGACTCTACCTGGAGCTACGGATGGAATTATGTTCTATATCACCCCTGATTTCGCAAAACTCAAAGAATCTGAGGTAATAAAATATCATCATATCATTCATACCTATGTACTGCATGCCTGAGAGAGGAGGGCTCGGCATCATGCAGCTAAATGATGTGCTTCTTTGTCAGGTATGGCTGGATGCAGCTACGCAGATCTTTTTTTCCTACGGATTGGGATTGGGGTCACTTATAGCTCTGGGCAGCTATAATCCTTTCAAAAACAATGTTTACAGGTAAGACTGGTGATGATTCACGACTAAAGATAATCTCTGAGAAAGAGATAAAGAACGCTGGCAAATTGAATTTAATCAGAGCAAGTCATAATGGCGGAAGATGGCGTTAATTAAATTGCTGCTATTTAACCGTATTGTGTTCCCATTAAAGACCATATTCAATGATACTTGGTAAGAGCCCTTTAAGGGTCTTATTAATGTGAGTTGCTGCCATGAATTGAATAACAATCTAAGGAGAAGGCTGTTTCTCGCCTCGATGTGAGTGCTAGAGGGAGGAAAATAACAACTGTGATTGCAAAGCCTGAATGTTATCTCCTGCAGCACCATGGTTCTAGGTCACATCAACAATTAGTTACATCAAAATAATTGTGTTTATTTTGTGCGCTCTAGATCTACATCTACATTTATGAAACCTACATGAAATCATTTTCATGATTTATCATTAGCTCTTTAATAAGATCTGTTTTAGTCTGTCATAAACAATACAAATGTTCAAACATCTGTATGATCAAAATAAATTAATAGCAGTTATTTATCCTCACAACTGACCCTTTCAGACCTCAGACTCTTTGCAATGTTGAATGTTTATGGAAGCTTGATACAGAGAAAGAAAAGAGTCAAGATATCAACGGGTCTATTTCATGTTCCCTCTCTCCAGAGACTCTATCATTGTGTGCTGCATCAACTCTTGTACCAGCATGTTTGCTGGCTTGGTCATCTTCTCTATTGTTGGCTTCATGGCAAATGTGACAAAGAGACCCATAGCAGACGTAGCAGCTTCAGGTAAGATGTTCTTCTTCTTTAATGTTTCTGTTGCTGCACACACAAAAGGAGCACTGTCATTGATACTGACTACTTAATACATCATTTATCATCACTTCAAAGTATAATGTGTGTGTTTGCTGTCATATCAGGGTACTATCAGTATAACCCTGATGAAATATGATTCTCCTATTTGCTATCCAGGTCCTGGCTTAGCTTTCCTGGCCTACCCTGAGGCTGTAACCCAGTTGCCCGTGTCTCCTCTCTGGGCCATTCTGTTCTTCTCCATGCTGCTCATGCTGGGGATAGACAGCCAGGTAAGGGGCTTGGGGATGATCTGCTCATGGGCTGACCTAAATATTTAAATGCAGGTACATATCATGCTGCCCACCCCTGGTCTCTGCATGATAAGCATGCAATTTGCTCCTTACGGACAGATATAGCTGAGCTTTGACATCAGCTGTCAGGTCTTTTTAAGGCAATTATATCACCTCTATGTGCCGCAGGTCTTCCTGTCTGTGTGTCTTACCCTTGTGTATGCTATTTCAGTACAAATAGGGCCACATCAACAAACAAACAAAATGTATACATGCAGTAATATTACCACCAGAACTCAAAAGAATAAGACAAAAAGGTATGACCAAATTGTAAATTGGGTAAATAGTCTTTGCATATCCGAGCTATTGCCAGAATGGCCTCCAAGAAGTGGATGCTTGGTCATTCAGAAGATTAGGTTAGTGTTTCTGTCCCATGGTTCGGTGCACACAGCAACTCTTTATCATCATCAGTCAACCTAAATACGAACATAACACTGAATAAAAAAAAGTTTCTACAAAACATTCACAGACCTCTACAAGATAAACAAAAATAACAATGCATGTATTGAAAACATATTTGTGGTAAAGAACAAAAAAGCATCAGATGCATATAGTGCACATGTCCACACTATCTTGATTTTGTTTCTATTATTCTGTTTTGCAGTTTTGCACTGTTGAAGGCTTCATCACTGCACTGGTGGATGAGTATCCCAGAGCTCTTAGGGGAAGGCGAGAGATCTTCATCGCGGCCGTCTGTTTCGTGTCCTATATAATTGGACTTTCAAACATCACACAGGTATACAGCAGAGGCGCCGTTTTTGTCATTAATGGCACACGATAAGATGCAGGCATCTACTTTGCGTAACTGAAGTTGTAACACCTTTCTTGTTTTTCTGTAACCAGGGTGGAATCTATGTCTTCAAGCTGTTTGACTACTACTCTGCCAGTGGAATGTGTCTCCTGTTCTTGGTCTTCTTTGAATGCATCTCCATATCCTGGTTCTACGGTGTGTGTCACAAAAACATTTAAATGTTCTTTACAATTTAACAGATTAAGGTAACTTACTATCACACGTGAAAAGTTGGGGTAGATAGGAAGGTTAGAAAGTGTCACACCTATCCAGACATGTTTGCGCATCTTCAAACGTCATTCAGCCTCAAGGTCAGGAGAACTCATGTGTTCCACCTCACCGTCCTCATCATCATGCATGGCAGACTGGCACAAAATTGAAATAAATTGGTTATGAATATTTTGATCATAGATTCATTTGTCTCGCAGGTGTGGACAAGTTCTACGACAACATTGAGGAGATGATTGGCTACAAGCCTTGTATATGGTGGAAGCTGTGCTGGGTCGTGTTCACCCCTCTCATTGTTGGTGTGAGTACTTTGAACTAATACAACCGTACATCTAATGTCATGACATGAAAAATGAAACAATAAATAAAGTCAATATTACCTGCCTGCAGCCATGTCGCAATGAGACAGTGCTGCCTGTAGTCAGTGTTGTCAGGATGCATAAAGCGTCTCGTGTCTCCCGCAGGGTGTGTTCTTGTTCAGCGCCATACAAATGGTTCCTCTCAAAATGGGAGACTATGTGTACCCAGGATGGGGTCAGGGAGTGGGCTGGCTCATGGCCATGTCCTCCATGATTCTCATACCAGGATACATGGTCTATATGTTTCTCGGACTCAAGGGAACTTACAAAGAGGTAAGAAGTGTATTTTCTGTTGGGTTTGTTAGGTGAATATGAGGTCTTGCTAGCCTGTTTCACTATATGTCTATCTATTCTGATTCTGCAAGTTAACCCCTTAATGATTTGTCTTGTTCTTCTCTACCAGCGACTGAGGATAATGCTCCACCCTCCTGCAGTTGTCAGGCGACCTCTGGAGAATGGACCTGAGCAGCAGGCAGAAACCAACACCGCTACCCTATCGAGCCCTGTCAACCCCGCCAGCCCTGTCAGCCCGGCCCCGGCCCCGGCTAACCCTGCCAGCCCCACCACTCCAGCTCCAGTCAGCACCACCAGCCCTGTGACTCCAGCTAACCCGGCCCCTCCGCCAGCAAATCCAACCACTGCCACTAGCCCGGTGAACCCGGCAACTAGTCCCACTGTCACCATCACCACCGCCACCACCGCGGCCAGTCCGGCTAACCCTACTATCACAACTGTTAGCCCGACCGTCCCACCACCCAACCCAGCAAGCCCAACGGAGCCTATTATCCCCCCAAACCCAACGAGCCCGACCTCTAACCTGACCAATGCAGAGGCCAATGTGTAGACAACAAAGAAACCCTCATGGAGCACGTTGACAAAAGAGAACATTACAAAGGACTTCCAAGATTTTAATTGATTCACCTACCTCCAGGGGCAATATGTGATCAAAACTGATTTTCAAACCATCTTTAATTTTTTCTGCATTTGTAAAAACCAAACCAATTATGTCTTATTGTTGGTTTTCATTCAGAAAACAATGTCAAAGACTGTTAGTGTTGACAAATACAACCATACATCTGAGTAAAAAAAAAAAAAATGTAAACATACTGTGTAATACTGTGAGAAAAGAAAAAAACAGAGATATAGTTTAGAGATTTGTTGAATATCTTCATGATTCAAGTAAATACCGTGTGAATATAGTAGATGAAGTAGTGAAAAATTGACATCATTGAAGAGTGGAAGGGATGTCAATTTTATTGTGGATGTTTACTAAACCTCACACAGTTGTCTCTTTTCCAAACGTTGCACTCTGTGAGGTAAACTACAGGCCACAAGACAAACGGGGAGCAAGCACAATGCCAATAAGAAGTTCATGTTTAGGAGCTCTTGCAAAAGATTTTGTGTGTGAGAGAGACTGTTATTTTTCCTTCCTTTTTTTTCAGTAAAAAAAAAGGGAAAACTTTTATGTGATCGAAACATTTTTAGAATTATTTTTAGGATGTTTTATACTATATGTGTTGTGATGGAGGACCAAAATCAATAGGCAGACAAAAGCAAAAACTATGCCATTTAGTGTTTGGTTGGCAAAGCACAGGGTACAAAGAAGTACAACAAAAAAAAGCACAGGGTTAGAGAAGTGATTTACAAACATTGACTATCCTTTAATGCTGACAGTCAATCCTGTTTACGTCTTGCATGCTTTCCTCAGGAACATCAGTGAAAACGTTCTGAAATGTCTCCTGACAAACAATAAAAAAAGAAGAAGAGAGAAGGCCTTAAGCCAATACACCAATTTCAACAAAGCCATAGTCTGTTTACATGACTGGCAGAATTACAAAATCCAACTTTGTATGCTAGCACAAAAACCTGGACCAACTCTGTGTTTAAGTAAAGTCTTTTTTATGTGTAATGATCAATTATAGTTTGATCAATATGTATTCAGCAATACATATGTAGATGTATAAGTCCAGGCCAGTAAGCAAGTGGTCTGTTTCTCTTTTTGTTTATGTTGTCTTTGCTTTACTAGTGAAAAGCACAAGCTTTAATTGCCCCAGACTTTTGCCATGGCTTGTTAGGACAATGTTAGTTTGCTTCTATGGCAGCTACTGTGAAAGGCATCTGGTTGAACAGAACATGTTTACTTTGAAAAGCAAAACAACTGAGCGAAAATGTGAAATGGCTACAGTTCATGTCCTGTGAATTTTGTATAAAGTTACTCTACCACAGTTTTCTCTGGAACTTTGTTGTAAAACTGTACTGTGTAAAACATGTAACTGTGAATGTCTGTAATACATTGGAAGTTATTGTCTAAATGTTGAAAAAATGGAGTTGCTGTTTTCTGCAATAATATTTTGATCACAGAAGCTAAAGCACATATCTTACAGAAATATACGAGATGATGATGACAATGAAGATACTGAGGATTATATTAAAAATAGATACTATGTCTAGTAAAACAATATTGTTTTGTATATTTTTAACTGTCTCACTGCCTAATGTAAAACATAATATAAACATGATATGTATTTAAATGGTGTCACATGATAAAGCACGATTGTTATGTTATACAAACAGAAACAGATTGAAAAAATAAAGAATTATAGAAAATATAAATTCAATATATGCCTGGCATATGTCCCTTATAGCATGTGTGTTTCAAGTAGCAACCCCACGCTTTAACCATTACAGTCAAATGAAACATCAAAAGAGAAATAGAGAAAATTGTTTCAAGTCCTTCCTTATGGTTTATTAAGTGTCAGAAACAGAAGCTGATAGAGAGGCCTCGGCATGAAGAACATCCCCACAGAACAGCTCCTGCCCGGGGGCCTGGCGTGCCCACCCGCCCCATCTCCCCAACCTCTTATAGCTCTGTGTGTTTGATTCTGTGTATTTGAGTGTGTGTGTGTGTGTGTGTGTGTGTGTGTGTGTGTGTGTGTGTGTGTGTGTGTGTGTGTGTGTGTGTGTGTGTGTGTGTGTGTGTGTGTGCCTGCATCTTCTCCCCCACCTCCTGCCATTGCTGCTTCCATTAGCTTCCAGTGTGATAAAAGAGACAGCACCAGCTGACACCACCACAATGACTCGCCGTGGATAAAAGAATGAGATGTCCCCTCTAGTAGCTCGTGGCAAACTGTGTGTGCCTGTGTGTAGCTGTNGGAGGAGGGAAGGGAGGGGGGTGGGTTGTTATGGACAGAAAGCTCTGTTGGAGTGGACTGGGGTTTGAATAATGCCCCTAATGGCAGCTCAAATAAACTATCCCCCTTTATTCCCAGTTGTGTCATTGAGCATCATTACCTATGAAAACCAGTCACCAGCATGATGACCCAAACTGATGTCTTACATCAACAGGAGCCATAGATCATTGTTTTTGGCAGGGGGAGGACAGCGACGAGGAAGGTCTTGATTAGTTGGGACCAATCTAGCAGAACACAATTAGTCTTCCACAGCTTCAGCAGTGATGGATCAAACGTCTTTACAAATGTACCAATATATATTCAGTATATATATATTTTTGTTTTTTCCAGAGAGGATGTACAAATAGCTGACCTAATTTGTAACTTCTTTCTCCAACAACCAATACTTGCTGCCACCTTAGTGTCATGCTAATTCCTGTGACTCATTGATTGAATTAGGAATGTTGGCTTCATTGCCTCTTCAGAGGTTTGATCATAGTTAACACATCAATGAAAATGGTTCCTCTATAGTATTTAGATACTTGAAAAATGTGCGAGCTGCAGTAAGACATTGTCACCTAATAATATCTGGATTGGGACTAGTGATTATTTGTGTATAGTTGCTTTTAGAAATCAATGTTACGGTTTTATTGCTTACTTAAAAAGCCCTGAGAGACTGTGAGCTATTTGTCTGACCTCTTATTGCCCTATGTCCCCTCCTGCACCATGAGATCCTCAGAAGCATGGCTGCTGGTCGTCCCAAAGTCCAGGTACAAACAGAGAGGAGATAGCCGTCGCTGCCAGGGCTGCCTGAGGAGATCAGAGCGGCAAACTCTTTTTAATCTCTTTTAAAAACCCACATTTTCAGAATAGCCTCTATTTTATTAATGTTTTTTCACTGGTTTGTTTTACTGTGTTGTATAAGGTTTGTTTTACTTCCTTTGTTTCAATAAGGTTTCTACGTCATTTCATTCTTTGTATTTAATTGTGTTCGGTTTTTCTCTAAAGCACTTTGTAACATTGTTTGAAAGGTGCTACACAAATAACCTTTATCATTATTAAAGGTCTGCCTAAAGAGACACCTCACCTGTCAATATTTGGACAGTCTATTTTATATAGCTGACCCCGTTGTGTCACTAAATCTGACAGGTCACACATTCCAGTGTAATATTTGTTGCTAAAATGACTGACCCTTTAAGATAGCAGTTGAAGATGGTGGAAAAGTTGATGCTGATGTCTAAACAGCTTGGATTTTCATTCAATCACTCTTACGGCTTTTTATTATTCTGTTCTCATTTTGTCAGCCCATGTTCATCAGTTTTCTCTTTCTCGCCTTGATGAGCAAATAAAGAGATCAACTCCCAAACCCCCTCCCCATCATTTCTTATCTCATTATGTGAATGATCTGCAGCCCATTTATTCTGTCACTGTGATAAAGGGGTGTATTCATGAAATGGACCATCAAATATGTACATTTTGCATGTGTATGTACCAGCACTGTCCACATGAATAGATATAAAAAAGCACTAATTAATACGACACCATTTTTCATGCAATCTCCGGGTCTGTTAGCTCCATTTTGTGGCCGGATCTGAGCAAGGGGACATTGTTTGGTGTTTAGCATTTCTTGGCGCTCAATGTGGCGAGCCTATTTTTAAAGTTAAAAAGTGCTTGCAGTTTGGCCGCAAGAGAGGACACTGAAGAAGCAAACTGGTGATCTATGATGCTTTTATGAAAGGATGACAGAACGCTACAGCTTATAAACTCACACAGGCTTCAATGATTAATCCTCATAGCCCACTTAAAGGAAGGAAAACTAATTCTGCTGAAGATGAAAAGGCAGATAATTATGTTTATACTTTCTCTGTTTTTAACCCCATTGCCAAAGGATTTTTTTTTTTTTATCATAACGCCCTATTGGGTTTATGTTGTTGTGGGTCACTGAACCTGCATATTTTTGATGTGGATTTTGTGTGATCATTTGTGACATTTTTCCTCTGGTGCATTTGGTTTGCTCCAGACTTCTGTCTGAGGTACATTCACCCGAGAATTCAAAGCAAATACATTAATGAATAACTAATCTTTGCAGATGCATGAATCTACATATCAATGTAATCAGAGGATGTTGTGTGCATGGCTATTTCCAGCAGAGGGGCTGAGAGGATGTCAAGCATGCAAAGCCTCTCTGCATATATGCTAATTGGGCTCCATTTTCCAATCTGAATATGAACCTTTCTGAAATGAACTTGTTTACCAGTTCGCTTTTTAAGGTGTCATTTTGCACATGCACGCAAACTGCACTGCTGCTTACTTATCAAGCATTTATGCCGTGCAGCTGGGTGAGATTTGAGATTACCGGGTGCACTCTGGGACATGTGAAATTGTGGATTCCCAAAGATTTTTTCCGTTTGATACTGTGCTCTCGTGACACAGCAAATATTGCAGTTTGTTCAGGCAGCGAGGCTCGGAGACAAGCAGAGCATATGATTTCAGTACAGATGCAAATGTAAGTCTGAATCCTATCCCAAAGAGGTTACTCTGTCACAAATCATAAGCGCTTATCACCCGCGCCGTAGAAAATCTATGGGTTTGAATTAACAAATCCCTATACATATAGACCCTTCAGAAAGGACTTCAATTTACATGACATTACCCTTCCCCCACTTTGCCAGCTCATAAACCTTCAACATCACACGGAAAACCTTGCACCTGTCTGATGTCTAATGAAAATATTTGTACTATTCAAATGTCTGTTTCTGTACACACAACTGTATAGTTTTCTTGTATCATCTAAAAAGGGGACGGCATTTTCAATGAAGGAATATTGAAGCATCTGTGAACAAAGTGAATCTCTGTGAGTTAATTTTAAGTCACAATAAAGAGGCTATTTCAGCTAATCAGGAAGACTGTCCCCAGCTACTTTCAGTTTGCTGTAGCGCTTCTTGTCTTTTGACACAGCTTATAATGTCTCCCCAATGTGCCAGAGGCTTATGGGGGAGTCATTGTAGATTACTGCCTGGGTCAAACACTGAATGCAAATCAGGCCGAGTAACAGGCACTGGAAACTGGAATCAGGGTGCAGGACATATAGGGAAAATAAACTGCAATATTTGTCTTATTGTACATATGTGTCGTATAATTTATTTCTAATTTCAAGTGTGTTTGGCTGAATGTGTGTGTATGGACTGGCATATATTTGAATATACATTTTTTTTTATTAAGGATATTGGAGCCAGGGTTTTTTCTCATATCAATCGACTATTATCAGAACAGGCTTTTCCAAAGGTCTGAATAGTTTATGGGAAACGTAAGCGAAGGGGAGAAATTCCACATGGTGAGCAAGACATGTTACTCTGCCTGGATGTCACGCACAGTGGGTGCTCTGAATGATCTTGTGCTCTGATGTGAAGCTAGTGGGAGGAAGGGCTAGTTCTCCACTGAAGCTCCTCTAATGGCTTCCTCCTGGATTCCCTGCCCAAAGGGTTTCAGGCCCTGTGCTCTACCCTGGGCCTCTTTAGGCTGTGCGACTTTGATAATGGCTGACAAATGAAAATCTCTGCCGACATCAAACTGAGCTATTTGTTTCCCTGCTCTTACACAGAATGGACAACAGAAGAAACGCACTGTTTTTTCCACTGAATTTCATTATTCTATAGCAAATGTCCTGGAACTTAACCCACACCGACTAGCAAAGCTGCACCTCTGTGTGTCCACAGTGTACACATTCTGTATGCTTGTATATGCCTGTAGTATGTGTACAGTTTGCTTAAGCGGACGCACAAACAAGTGTGAATATGTGAAGTGTACAAAAACTCTTGATAAGTGTACAAGGCAGGCAGCTGCTCAAGGCAAAGCGTTATAAAGACCTGCTTTCTAAATGAATTCTTGTCAGATTACGCCAGCACACACATAACACTTCACTCCTCAGGATGTTGGCTGAGTCTGCTCAGTTTAGTACAGCTGGGAAGTGAATGCGAGGTGGAAGGTGAGGCACAGGTGAGTAGGAAGGTTCATGACTCATGTCTGTTAATTCAAAGTAATGTTAAGTCAATTGAAGGTAAGCAAAAACCCTTGCATTGCTGTTTTGTATTCACAGTAGGTGAGAGTCACAGTTTCATTGTCTTTGTGCTTTTGGGTGTTGTTCTGTGAGCTGATGTGTTTATTTTTGGTCCTATTTTATATGCAAATGTGACGAAGTGACCTCCACACGTGCATTGCATGCATTATCTCTCCTGTTGCATGACATTTTCACTCATGTAGTTATGCCCTTGACTACACTTTATGAGTGATAATAAGAGGCAGATATTTAAGCTGACCCACATACATAAATATCCCCGCTCCCTCAAATATGAACCGAAAACTGAGGCAAACACGAGAGACACGTACAATGCAATGCTCTGGGAAACATTTTGAAGGCCTGTTCAGATGCGGT